TTGTTTGCTCTGTACCTGTTGCTTTCCTATGTATCAGTGACAGCTACCTGCTTGCATACTTAGTACTTGCTTTGGTCCTATTTCTATTATCCTCCTCTTCTCTATGTTACTTGTTAAGCACCTTGGCATACCCTTGGTTTTTAAGTGTGCTTTATAAATAAAGTTTATTATTATGATGATTGTGAATGTTAGACTGTTGGTTTCAGAAAGTTAGAGAAACTGTTGGACATCAGCAGCAGAGACTGCTTATGCATTTTCATGTTCCCAGACAGTCTCCCTAAAAAACACTGAATGTTTTAATGCTGAGCCACAGCCACGTTTTTAATGTAACCGAGCAGATTCGCTGCTCTGTGCGAACATAGACTCAGGCGCAGGCTTTGATTGCATTAACAGAAGGAAACGGTTCACATATGCATGCAGTGTGCGATGATGTCAGCCCACTTACTTGTGGGAACATTTCAGGGAGATGTTCTCCAGGCCTGTAAAGTGACCTGCATTTATTATGAATGAACACATCTGTCTGCTCTCCTTCACACACACATAAACAGAAATAAAGCCCACGCGGGACCGCAAACTGTGTCCACACGGATTCCGATCAATTAACTCAAAGTGCCGCTTTGTGTCCCTGTGACAGAAGCTTACAAATTACCGCGAGCACGGCGGCGCTATACGCGGGCAAGATGCATTTCACATTTGCATGAGAAACAGAATAAGCACCTGGTTGGCCGTGCAGGCAACCAACAGAGGAAGTAAACGGATGCTTTGTTTGAGTCGCAGTCTCGTCTGTTCTACACAAAGAGATGAGTCGTCCTGTGATTGGGATAGAGCTTCAGAACCAGACGTGTCTCTGGTGTCAGGTTATGATTCAGTAGTCCCTGTGGGAAGCTCCCACTCTTAAGAGATTTACAGAAAACCAAACGGTGCTTTGCAAGCCTTCTCTTAATACCTTCCATATGCACATAACAGTCCGCTTTCATGCAAACCAACCTGTAACTTTAGTCAAATGAAGGCAATAAATTCATGAAATAAACATTTATCTCCAATTTGTTTTCATGGGTAAGTATAAAGATATTTCTAACAATGTTTCAAAAACATTACTCTTTGCATTTTTGTCTTTAATGCTTAGTTATGAATAAAATGCATTAAATACATTTTTGTAGTTTACAAGTAGCATCATGACAGAGTTTAATGTGGGAACCTTTATTATTGACAGTATTACACTGAGGGGACTCTGAACACTGAAGTCTGTCAGACACAGACAGCTGGAGGCACCGTGGACAATTACTGGTTTCCATTATACTTCTTTGAAGTCCACCTGAGAGGCACATGTGATGATACAGTGCTTAACAAATTTATTAGACCACCACCCAAT